TTCTCCTAGTATGCTGTCCCCCACAAAGTTCTAAGAATAAACCTCAGCATAGAAACCACAATAGATCAATACTCTCTTCTCAGGTGCTCTTTATTGCTAATATGCAGTTTTACTATGATATCGATCTCTTCTAAAATTTTGTGTAAAGCTATTTAATATAGAGGCTAATGATATTAAATAGTTGAGCTAACTGGGAATTGCTTTTATAGGCCTCCAGTAGCACGATTACAGGAGCTATGATGATTTTCAGCAGAATTCAGTTCAAAACATTTGGGACCAGATCTCACTTAAATGGAAGTGTAGTTCTCGATAGAATTATGTTCGGGATGTGGGACACAGCTCCAAGCCTGCACAAAATCGAGCTCCCAGCATTATTCAGCTCTCTTCAATGCTAGCTACCTCCACTGGCCAAACCACGGCTGCTCATATAACCTTGTAAGGGCTGTTTTTTCTATTGGTGGAGGAAGGGAGACTAGTAGTGGAGAAATCCAGAAGCCCAAAGAGGTTTTTAAAATCTCCTACGCATGAATTAAAGCAACTGGAACCCGAGGCTCCTGGCTGGGCTTCCTGGTTAGGGTTAATAGCCACTCCATGGAGGCCAATCTTTTAGTTTAAGGTAACAGTTGAATAAGAATGGAAATAAACAAATAAACAAACAAAACCCAAAGTTACAAGTTTCAATAAGGATACAGCTACACTCACTGTGATGTCTCCACACTCTCCCATCCCAAACAGTTGCCTTTTAAAATGTGGGCAGGAATCGAGCTGTATATTTCAAAACTCCTCTCAGACATGTTCAGAAAACCATCGAGGCCTTGCTTTCAAATGCTTGCCGTGTGAGCTATGAAAGTGAAAACTGGCAAATGCTACCCCTGAGACTTCAGAAAGTCCAGAAGACAGTTTTGTTTTTGTTTTTCAGGGTAAATGAAAACAAACCAAATATTAATTGTGGCAAAGAATAGTCCCTGGGAGTTGATGCAGGTGTCTGGATCTCATCAACTAAAGTAGCATACCACTTCTCTAAAACTCAAATTAAACTGAAGTAGTATCTACAAGAATGTGTGTGTGTGTGTGTGTGTGTATTACCTCCTGGGTGCTAATCTTTTTAGCTAAGACAGGCTAGCTTCTTTGAAAGAGACAGAAGGTAGGTGGGGTCCAGACTATTTGACAGAAGGGGCAGGACTGGAAATGGATAGCCTGATAAGCCCAACTCAAGAGCTTCCTGAGGCATCTCCTGTCCCAACCAGGGTTATGTCACAAAATCAGACTTTTATTTATTGTCCTCAAGGAAATCAAGAAAAGTAGTTACTTCATTCTAAAAATAAAGTCTAAAGATCCTTTCTCTCCTCTCCCCTTTATAGTGAAAAGAGATTTGTATTGTGATAGAAACCACTGGCTCAGCCCTAAAGCTCTGCCTCATTGTGTTAAAGCCTGGGAAACTACTCGAAATCGGCAACTATTTATTTTGATCCAAATGAGTGAAATTTTAAAAGGCTTAGAAATATGGAAAGGGGGAAGTCACTCTCCATAAGTTATTACTATTTCAATTAATTATCAATAACAAATATGAAATTAAAAGTGAACAACTGGTATCTCTACAGCATTATTCTATTTCATGACCAATGAAATCCCACTTTAATGAAGTCTTTCACATATCATCTCACCTTCTGCCTTAGCCCAACTGTATAGACATCTAGCCATTCTACAGCCATCCTCTTTAAGGGCAGGAGGACCAAATCCTTTAAGTACCTGATGGACACTTCCCTTTCAAGTTCTCTCAATCTCACTATCCATATCTCAAATTTTTTAGGTCAAGGAGACAATCATAATAAAAGTAGCAAACATCATCACACCTTCCAGACACCTGAATTAGATGTCACTGGAAACATCTACTTTGCACTAGTTATAAGGGGTTCGAGCAACTTACAAGTTTTTAAAAAGCTGAGCATGAGTGGTTGGGTTTTAAAAGTCTTCCCTTACTTCCCTCTGCAGAATTAGGAGCTTACAAAAAATAATGGAGATGCTGTCCTCCCTCGCCTTGAGGCAGTTCTGGGGAGCCAGGGATAATGCTGTTGTTTTGTAAAACTGAGTTCATGAAATTTCTGTGGTGACAGGAGGAAATCTAGATGTAGCAGACATAAGGGGATTAAGGAAGTATGAGCTAGCTGTCCTTGAAATGAAGCTGAAACTCACCTTCTGGCCCTCTCCACTTTTATTATGGTCCTTTGAGGAAGGATTGTTTCATTCTTTGTACTTGTATCCCCAGAGCCTAGTCTAGTACCTAACTCTGGCTTAATAACTACTTGTTGATTGATTGATTCAAAGTCATATCCCAGGGATGGAAGCTGATGCACCACAGTGGTGTGGTAACCAAGCTCCTCCCCCATTGAATTCAAGAAGGTATTATTCATTGGAATAGGACTCCATGAATGTTTTTTTCCCCCCTGTTTGAACTCTTTATCAAATAATTGAAACCTACCCACAGCACCATAAAAGACACAGAGAGAAATGGAAAGAGAAGAAACTGGGGTGAGAATATGTTGTGGATTTGCGAAGGGAGTGAATAAAAAGAGGCTTCAGGGAATAAAGAAATTTATATCATTTTCAAAGATGAGATTTTTAAAGTGTCTACATCAGCTTTAAGTCTAACTGTCAAGTAACAAAATTACTCTAAAGAATATAAAGGAAAACACTCAACAGAATGAGCCTGCTAATACACTTGGAAACAGGGGGACTGAAAGAGCTGAAACTAACAGGGATCTTGCAAACTTCTCTTCTGTGAAACTTTATTGTTCTTTACCAAGTCAATTATGTGACATTTGCAGAAGACAGACAGACAGAGAGAGAGGGGGGGAGAGAGAGAGAGAGAGAGAGAGAGAGAGCGCGAGAGCGCATTATCAGGTAACGGGGGTACGGGTGGAGAAGTCCCTTAGAAGTTTTCCTCTTTGGCATATTTTCTCAAATAAGGTTGATATTTCTTATCTTCCTGGGTGTTAACCTTTATTTCAGTATTTGCTGGGAAACTAAAGACAGTTGGACTCAGCCACTGAGTTAGTGAGTTAGATGTGTCTTTACTGTGAGAACTCTACTGTATACCTGTAATTGTCCAGTCTGTCCTTGTTGGCCCTTACGGGAATTCTGAGGTCCCTGTAGGGCATGTACAAGAAGTCTCTGAGGTCAAAGAACCCCAGGGTGCATTTGTAAAATTATGCAATCTTTCAAATTTAAATTCAGTTCCTTAGTGAAAGTTAGCTAATCTCCTCTCTTTTCCAAGCCTCTTTTTGGCACCCTAGAGATCCTAATAATTATTCATGCCTATTCATTCTCAAGACTGTATTTTCCCCTGCAGTGGTGGGTGTGAGTCTGTTTGCTCATAGGAAGATGTGGGGTAGGCTTTGAGAAAATAGAAAAGTGAATGTTAAAAATTTATAAGTATTTCAACAACATACTACTTCACCTCTGCTTCCCAACAAGACAAATCTCTCTCTCTCTCTCTCTGTACAAAGTATTCTAAGTTTCTGGGAAGTGTCATTCCACACATGATACTCAAGTAAGAATGCTTACCATTTTGGGGAGGCAGCCATGTTTAATCTATGTAGACACAATCCCCTGCTCCTCCTCCCTATGTACTCTCCCAACACCAAAGAAATCCAAGGTTGAGTCATAGGTTCATAGAGGACTTTAAAGGCTATCTAGTTCAATCCCCTTATTTTACAAATGGGACCCTGAGGCCTTTGAAAGGAAAAATAATTGGCCTAAAGTTATCCAGATGACAGAGGCAGGTTTTGAACCTGGGTTCTCTGTCTCTAAATCCAATGTTGCTTCTACGAGGTCCATTTCACACTTGAAGCTGTCCTTGAATTTATTATGCTGTGCTTTCCAAACCATCCCTGGGAGTCACTGAAACAGAACAACCATACGAAAAACAGCAGTTCAGCTATTTCAATGAATGATAAGTGCTTGGCACTAATACATGTTTAGAAAAGCTATCTGGAGTCCTTCTCTTGGTTAACTGTCTTCTCACAAATGTCAACTCAACAGTGCTCTAACTAGCTCTTTTGACTTGAAACAAGTTGGGAGACTTTTGAAAAAAGCAATAGAAGAAAGCTTGTTTGTTTCCTTAATGGATTTATGAGCATTTATATTATTGAAAAAAATTTTTCCTTTGTTTATTCCAAGCAGTGACAATAAGACTTTAATCTGGGAAATGAACTGATCTCAATGTTCAGACTATACTTCCCCAAAGCCAAAGAGCTAGACAATATGCCAGTAGTCTTTAATTTGTTCCATGGGATAGAGGCAAGTGATCAAATATGGTTGCTTGTAGGCAGTTTTCTCAGGGATCCTAGGAGGAGCTCCATGGGCACCAGATTGACACAATACTTGAGAACCTGGCAGTCTTTCTTCGCAAAGACTATGTGGAATCCAAACCTGTGTTTTATTGTTGTATCATACCAAATGTATGGATATATATACCCATATGGGTGGGATGGAGTGGGGCTGCAGGAAAGAGGTATGAATAATATTTATCATAAAGACAGGAAACACAAAACTGATAGCAAGATGAAAACTGGGAGTGGGAAGAGCTGAGAATAAGGCATGGATGGAATTGATGGATTTTTCTACCACCTCTCACCTCTGTGGTACATGATGTACCATGCTGCCTTAGGTCAGGTGGCTATCGATTGGACCTCCATGCACAGAGGTATGTTATGAATACTGGCTATGCTCCCCAGGGGTGGGATGGGGGGGGAGTTGGGGTTCAAGTTGTATAAAGAATTAACAGGAGAAGCAGCAGGAAAGGGTAAGCAGATTGAAGTGAATCAGCCCTACTTGCATGACGCAATGGTGACAGCTGGGGAAGTGGGGTAGGGATACTGCTAAAAGCCTAGAATTATACCGTAGAGCAGGGGTAGAGAACCTATGGCTTTGAGGTGACATGTGGTCCTCTAGGCCTTAAGCGCCACCCTTTGACTGAACCCTTTGACAGAATTCTGTGCAGTTTGGATTCAAAGGATTGCACTTGAAGACCTAGAGGGCCACATGTAGCCTCAAGGTCGCAGGTTCCCCACCACTGCCCTAGAGTAAAGAATAAAGATTTCAAGTCAGCTTTTCCCAAAGCCACTCCAACAAATCTCTTTTGGAGCTGCAGTCATACTTTCTTCTCTTGGTATTTACTTGGGGAATAGCTAGGGAATGATTAGGGTGGGGGAGAAAGAGAATCTGTAGGATCTTAGGTGTTATTTCTCAGTAGGGTCCTTTCTTTAGCACTCTCTTGATAAACTTAGGTTTATCCATCCTCCCCTTTGACTCACTGGAGTTTCAAGAGGCTCTCTTTCCCCTTTTCTGGGAGTTTTCAAGAGAGGTACAATGAGCTAAACTGATTCAAAGACTTGGAAAGATGGTCAACTAGATGAAACCTGTGGGTCTGAGGATATTTCTGGATGCTAAACTTGGGGAAGAGCCCAGTCAATTACAAGTTATCACATGTGGTTTTAAAGAAATCACTTTCTAGGCTTCATAAGCTAGGCCTGGGATGGTGAGGACTCATGCGTCAACCTTTGGAGATAAACTTTACTGGACTCTTGACTCAGTTCAAATAGTGATACTAGGTTTCAGAAACCAAATTTGGATCAGCTAAGTAGGACTGGTCCATGTGGGCTCTGACACTTCAAGAGGGACTAAGGATAGAAATCACTGGGTTCTGTTCTAATAAAACTAAAAAAATTCCCCCCCAATATTGATGGTAAAATAGCAGAAAGAGGACTAACCGGGGGATGGTTAGAAGTTGTCTATGGGAAAAGAAATCTTACTGGGGACTGATACCCATCTTTTTCTTGTGGGATACAGTTTGGTCACTTGCTTTGTATTTTTTGCCTTAGAAGGTTCTACCTATGATGCTATGTTAGGCTCATAACATGTCACTAACCATGTTCACATTCCTAATAGGATATAATGTTGTGAACTTTTCCACTGACACTCTTTCCATAACATTTTATAGCAAGCAAGAGCCATGACATGACCAAATTCTCTTGCCTTTACTACTCATTGACCCATGGTTGCTGACGAAAATGGAATCCCTCTCCTTGTTTTCAAGATCTTGGCTTCTATTGATTAGAAGAAAGTTTATAGTGGCACAATGGAAAGACAAGCATGTTCATATTTGTGGGCAACATGAGGGCATCTAAGTATAAGGAAATCATAGGTAATATCATAATCACCATGGTCCACCTACTACCCCCGTGCTTATCTCTTCCTGGCTCAAATCAAGACAGTTGTTCAATAACATGTTATAAGATGAAATCTAACAGTACCATGACCATATCTATACCCAGATACCACAAACCACAAAGGATATGTAAATAGTGGAGTTTGTCTTGGACAATCTCAGCCTAGAAACAGAACAAGATTTTGGGGAAAAAAAGAAAAAAGAACACCTTGGTTTTTTTTCTTCACATATACAGAACGTGCTAATTCTTCTGTGTAGAGCTCACCTATAAAGTGCTTAATAATTGAATGGAATACCTTTAGACGGCATAACTAACAGATATGAGACATGTTTACACATTCCTATCAGGGTGTAATATTGTGAACATTTCCACTGAGATCGCAGAACTGTCGTAATGGTTCCTAAAACATCATGCCATCTGCATACATAATAAAATAATCCAGTAGTTGCCATGCTAAAATGGGACTTCTAGTGAAGGGCACAGAGAGTCCCCTGAAGGGAACTCAAGTTATGCACAGTGATGAAAACTGGAAGCAATTTCCCAGCTAATGGTCTGTCAATGACCACTTGGAACAAATTAGCACTGGAGATGATGTGCCACATTTTAAATCCATGGCAAACTAGGATTTTTCCAAACCCATCATCTTGACTGAGTGGTTGGAGCTCAGTTAATCTTTCAATTCTCCAAGGTCGTCTTGTGGCACTGCCGTTCTTTCGGCTTTTCATGAGGGAGAGGCCACTTTCATATCAACTGGCAGGACAGCAGCTTTAGAGGCTAATCATGATTATGGAGAACCCTCTGTTGAGGCTGTAAAAGAAATGAAAAAAACAATCAGGAAAGTCATTTATTTCACATGGTACAAATCCGCACATTTCCAGGACGTAAAATGTTGTTATCCTGTTCAAACGCCTTGAGCCCCAGGTGAAGGTAGCACAACACTAGAATGGGGTCTCTGACAGATATTGTCTATAAAATCTTCCCTGGAAAGCGGTTAGAATAGGGGAGATACCCATCTTACTGAGGGGAGGAAGCAAGGGGATGGACTAGCTCAACCCTGAGAGTCACATCCAATTCTGTGATTCTTTCCATTAATAAATCTATTGGAAGGAGATTAGATTGGGACAGGCAGTAGGGGTGTGTTTCTTCGCACAGTTTAATTGGGTTTTCCTACCAGAGGGCAGGTACTGTCATTCAGAGGAAAACCCTCCAGTGATAAATATAATTAGAAGAAAAGAAGCCCCCTGCTGGAGCTTCTCAGCTTGCTCTTACATCCATTGCTACTTCAGTTATCAATCATTTTAGTCATACAACATGTAACTTTTAACTCATTTTTAAAACAAATGTTTGATACCACTATAATTTGTGAATATTCCTCACTAAAGCCAAACAGAACTCTCCTTTGAAACAAACAAACCATAACAGAAACAAACACAAAGTGGTAACATCTGCAGTGTACTCGACATTCTGTCCCTGTACTCCCCTACCTGCCTTGCTCAGATTGAAGGGGACATAATTGTCCCTTCTTTGGGACCACAAAGACTTCTGAATTAATTCTGCTTCCTTTTAGTGTGCTTTTCTTTTATATTGTGTGTCACTGTGCATATTGTCTTCCTGATTTCACTTTGTATCAGTTCATAGACATCTTCTCTTGTTTCTCTGGTTCCTTAGCAATCAATCAATAAACATTTATTAAGTACCATTATATTAAGCACACTCCTAAGTGCTGAGGATACAAAAAGAGACACAAAACAGTCCCTTCCCTCAAGGAGCTTACATGGGGTGGGGAGGAAGAGAGCATGCAAACACATATATGCAGAGCAAACTATACATAAGATAAATAGGAAATAATTAACAGAGGGAAGGAACTAGAATTATGAGGGATTGTGGAAGCCTTCAAGTAAAAGATGGGATTTTAGTTGGGACTTGAAGGAAGCCAAAGAGGTCAATAGGCAGAGTGCGGGAGGGAGAACATTCTAGGCATAGTGGACAGCCAGGAAGAGTGCCTGGAAATGAGAGACAGAGGGTCTTGTTCGAGAAATAGCCAGAAGGACAGCGTCACTGGATCTCAGAGAATGTGTAGGGGAGTAAAATGTAAGAAAGGTACGAGAAGACTAGGTTATGAAGAGCTCTAAATGCCAAACAGAGCATTTTGTATTTGATTCTGGAAGTGATGAGGAAATACTAGAATTAATGTTGAGTATGGGAGGGGGTGATATGATCAGATCCATGCTTTCGGAAAATTTCTTTAGTGGTCAAATGGAGAGAGACTTGAGGCAGGAAGACCCATGAGCAGGCTATTGTAATAATCCAGGCATGAGTCAATGAAGGCCTGCACCAGAGTGGTGGTAGTGTCAGAGAAGAGAAGGAGGTGTATTGGAAAGATGTAACAAAGGTGAAACTGACAGGTCTTGGCAATAGCTTGAATAAGGGGGATGAGAGATGGTGAGGAATCCAGGATGATTCCTAGTGGGCTAGAAGGATGGTGTTACCTTCTACAGTAACAGAGAAGGTAGGAGAGGGGAAGGGTTTAGGGGGAAAGATGATAGATTCCAGTCTGGACATGTTGAGTTTGAGATGTCTCCCAGAGATCCAGCTCAAAATGTCTAGAAGGAAGCTGGAGACAAGAGATGGAGGCTAGCAGAGTTTAGGGCAGGATAGGTAGATTTGAAAGTCTTCAGCATAGAGATGGTTATTAAATCAATAGTCATTGTTAATTTTTGTCCACTAATATTTCATTAATTCATCAATTACAGTTTGTCCTGCTGTTTCCAAATTAATGGGCACTTTGTTTTTGGTTCTTTGCTACCACAAAAAGTGCTGCTGTGAATATTTTGGCAGATATATGGCAGCCCTCTCTGTCTGCTTTTGACCTCCCTTGGGGCATATGCCCAATAGTAAGATTATCACTTTATTCTTAACAAAGGGAAGGTCATTCCCTGCTTCTGTCTGGGTGGCACTTCCTGGATTTCTTGGTTTTTCTTTCTGATCAGTCAGTAAATATGTATTTATAAATCATCAACTATGTACTCAGCCTTGGGCTAGACACTGTGGGGGTGGTGGAAAAAACAAAACAAAACAAAACCCTAAGACATAATATGATCTCTGTCCTTGAGAAACAGTTGCATAGTCAAGACTCACACAAGACATAAAAAAACCCCACAAGTTAAGACAACATATAGTATCTATCACTAGCACCAAATAACAAGACCTTGTACAAAGAATATGCTTAAAAAACTCTTTTAAAAAATTGAATTGAATTGTGGCTATCTAGAACCCTCAGAGAGGGTTTTTATAAATAGTCCAGTTTTCTGGATGGTTAAGGATTCACCTTCTCAAAGCCAAACAACCTGTAGAGTTTTAACCCTTTTTGTATTGAAATGCTTCTAAACAACACACCATTTAATCTCTCCCTGATGACTCTGGGGCATCATACTAGGTGTTGTATGTTGTATGTGGTACAATATATTGTGTATTGCCCAATGTTGGAAGAGTGGTACTGTAGGTGAGGTGGCTGAGACTGAGAGTGGAAATGACTTTCCTAAGGTCACAGTTAACATCTCTGGGCTGTGTGGTGGTACAGAGTGTCCTGGGTCTTGCCTGGCCCTGTGGAACGCTGGCAAGTTGCAGGGGTGGAAAACCTACTGATTGGGCCATGGAGCATTCGGCTGACCCCTCGCTGCTCCCCCTACTCCTGACACCTCCCCAAGTCAGCTGTTGGGTTCTTGGAAACAGAATCCTGTATGCGGTACCAGAAGTTGCCCTCAGGATGAAGTGCTGGCTAGCCACCCTGACATAACTGGCCATATTACTGGGACTCCTTGGGAGAAGGGGCTACATGGAAACAGCACACACTGAAAAAGGTTAACTGGGTTTTTTTCTAAAAGAGGCATCATGAAAGAATTGGAAATTGTGGGAAGCCCATCGATTAGGGAATAGCTGAGTAAGTTGTGGTATATGATTATGATGTGTGATATAAGAAATGACAAACAGGATGGTTTCAGAGAAACCTGGAAAGACCTATATGAACTAATGCAAAGTGAAGTGAGCAGAACCAGGAGAACATTGTACACAGTAACAGCAATACTGTAATGATGATCAACTGTGAAAGACTTAGACAATTCCAAAGGACCCATGATGAAAAATGCTATATAGGGGCAACTAGGTGGAGCAGTGGATAGAGTACTGGCCCTGAGTTCATATCCGGCTTCAGACCAAACACTTGACACTTACTAGCTGTGTGACCCTGGGCAAGTCACTTAACCCCAATTGCCTTTAAAAAAAAAGAAAAAAATGATATATACCTCCACAGAGAGAGAACTGATGAACTCTGAGTACAGACTGAAGCACACTTTTAAAAACTTTACTTTTCTTGCTTTTTAAAAAAGAACATGGCTAATATGGAAATACGTTTCACATGACTTCATATGTATAATTGATATTATATTGCTGGCCTTCTCAATGGATGGGGTAGGGGAAAGAATTTGGGACTCAAAATTTAAAAAAAATGAATGTTAAGAATAAATTAAAGATAAACAATTTATAATAATTAATAAATAATATAACATAACAAATAAAAGAAATATTAAAAAATAAAAGAGGCATCATGTCATTCCATAATACTGTCACATTACATTGATAACTGCCTTGCTGGCTTAATGATTTGAGGGCTCATTTACTTCTTGTCTAGGCTAGTTTAAATATTTCTTAAAGAAAATATGTTAGGAAGGATGGAATCTTCTCTTCATGTTACCTGAACCCAACTGAGGCACATTTGGCAATGTGTTAAGTACTTTCTTCTCTGTGGTTACTTGTAGATCATTTTTCCTTAGACTTTAATGAGCCCTCCAGATACTCTGGTTACCATCACACCAATGGACCAGTTGGGTCTTGTTAGATAGACCACTTTATAGGGCTGAATAGCTATAGATGGTCTGCTTTACATACGACAGGTCTGTAACAGCAGAACCCGATGGGTGCTTACCAGATAGCAACACTGATCATTCCATACCTCTAATGGCTTCCTTCTTCTTTACATAGACAATCAGACAGTAATACTTTATCCCAAAGGGGGCCTTATTCCTGCAACGATGTCATAGGTGAGCACCTTTGGGTACAATTTCAGGAGGAACTGTCTCTATTTCTCAAATTTTTCCCTTCAGCTTTTAACAAGTATTGAAACATTTGCCAAACTGGCCCACTTGTTTTTTGCAGGTGATATTTCCACCTCCAATCTTTGTGTCTTCCCACAGTCTATCTGTCCCCCATAACTAGAACGTTCTCCTTCCTCACTTCCACCTCTTAAAATCTCTAGTTTCCTTCAAGGCTCAGCTGAAATATTACTTCTTTCATGAGAGGCTTATCTTATTTCCCCCAGTTGTTAGTACCCTCTCCTGAAAATAACTGTATTTAGAAAGAATTAAGTCTGAGTTCAAATCTAACCTCAGACATGTATGAGTTGTGTGACCTGGGCAAGTCACTTAACATCTGTGTGCCTCAGTTTCCCCATCTATAAAATGAGGATAATAATAACACTTAACTCCCAGGATTGCTGTGAGGATCAAATGAGATAATATTTGTAAGGCACTTAGCACAGTGTCTGTCACATAGCAAGCATTACACAAATGTTAGCTGTCATCATCTAAGCCAGGGATTCTGAACTGTTTTTGTGTCATGGACCCCTCTAGCAGTTTAGTGAAGCCTATGATCTCCTTGAGATAATGACTTTAAATACATAAAATGAAATGTGTAGGATTATAAAGAAAATTAAAAAATAACATAATAGTTATTAAATCTTTTTTAAAAAGCTC